GCGCACTGAACTGGGTTTGCAGTAATCAGTGGTTCCACAAGGTGGCAGCACTGGCCCGACTGACGTTTCACAGCAGAAAACACAACTAAAGACACTGAAACAATTGATAATACACGTCTAATACAGCTTATAAACACCATATAAAGTAAACATGATCATAATTTATCAACAGTATATTTTATTTAATTCACTAACAGCCTTTTGAAGCTTAATAATCACATTAGACCATATTGTAATTCCCATGTTATGCCATGTAAAAATATTTTCAAGATTTGTTATCACAACATATTTTCTTTTGTCAAATCAACTTTATAATAATTTATTTAGTTGAGATAACTTATTATTTTGAGTTTCTGATTGTTAAATTAATCTACTTCATTGTATTAACTCACTTTTTCCAGTTCAATCAACTTAAAAATTTAAGGCAACCCAGGTTACTTACTTTTTTAGGTTAAACCAACAATATTTTTTTACAGTGCAGTTATCACAACATTTTTTTCTTTTGTCAAATCAACTTAAATAATTTATTTAGTTCAGATAACATATTATTTTGAGTTTCTGATGGTTAAATTAATCTCCTTCATTGTATTAACTCACTTTTTCCAGTTCAATCAACTTAAAATTTTAAGGCAACCAGGTTACTTACATTTTTAAGTTAAACCATCAATATTTTTTACAGCGAATGTATAATAATGTGATGAAACGGAACGAAAGTGTGTGTGAGGCTCTCACTAAGGTTCTGATTGTGTGTGTGTGTGTGTGTGTGTGTTCAGGGCGTTCATCTCCTGAGCTCCACCATCGAGGAGTGCTGGGATCACGACCCCGAGGCCCGGCTGACGGCGCAGTGTGTCGTGGAGCGCCTCAGTGACATCATCAGCTCTGACATCATCAAGAGCACAGGGGATTCTGGGAGCGACGACAAGTAGAGCAAGCGCCGGATCACGGACGTCCAGACACACACTGCACTTTACAGGAGCAGGAACATTTACACGCGTCAGGTGATTTTATTCAGCCAAACTGCAGAAACACACACTCTTCCTCTGTGTTTCGGTCTCGTTTCCCAGCGTAAACATCTAAACACTCTTATATCCTCATCCGTTTACTGGAGATTCACAATGACTGAAGATATTGAGTCTTGTTTTATGAAAAATGCATCAAAATTAATCAAGAAAATCTGCTAATGGAGTCAGAAAAATAAACTTAAGACAAAGGAAAACAACAATCTGTGGCAAATAATTGTTGTTTAAAGCACAAACTTGCTAAATTTTGTTTTATAGCAATTTAATATCTTTGTCTTTTTGTTTCTCTTGTAAATGTATCTTGAATTACGAGTTTTCAGATATTTGTGCCGGAAAACTAGAGTTTTTTAACTATTATTCAGTGTCAGGAGCACGTGTATGACGTCAGTTGCTCGTTACGTATTATCATTAAGCTTCAGGGAAAATCTGCTCCGCTGACGTGAAACAGTCAAACATGGAGGAACAGGAAGTGAGGTCATGGCCGGATGTGAACAATATTCACACGCAAAGGATTCTGGGACATGTGAACTCTGCAAGAGCATCCATAAGGCTCTCTGTGAACTTACAGTATTATAAAGCCTCGAAAACCTTCATGTCCGGGATTATAAATCAGATCAAATCCAGCTGATTTAAGTGTTAATAATCCATGACACAACCAAAGAGATGAAATATGAATGTTGAGACTCTCAGGTCAAGCTGTTTATTAATGTGAAAATACAGTCTATGGACTTATACACACGTGCCTTACAGAGCAAACGCTGATGCACATCTCATTTACGTCAATGTAGATGATCGGTTAATATCTGTATATGAGTATATGAAACGTCAACAACATCCAGTTTATAAAAGCAACATTTATAAAAGAAAAAGCACTTTTTTTGTAATACATATATCATTGTGTAAATGTATCTAATTGTGTAAACTCATAAAATCATTGATTGTTTGTGAATGTTATTGTGTGTTATATTGTGTTGAATCTGATTCTTTAAATCAACATAAAGTCCAATTTACTCAATTTACTTTCTGGTCATCAGTCCAAATTAGTAATCCGAAAAAACACAAACCTCTTACTTTTAGTTTTTACTCAAACCTTTTACTCTTTCAGCATCATGACCTGATCAGGTCTGATAACAAACTTTTCAATACCTACTTTCTAAGATGATCACACACTCTCGTAGAGAAACATTGACTGTATTTGCGTAGTATTGTCTGGGCTTATTTTTCACCCTTGTGATGCTCATTATACTTACACTCACCTAAAGGATTATTAGGAGCACCATACGAATACTGTGTTTGACCTCCTTTCGCCTTCAGAACTGCCTTAATTCTACGTGGCATTGATTCAACAAGGTGCTGAAAGCATTCTTTATATGAAGAAACAGAAAAAACAGAGACTAAGACCAGAAGAACTGCGGCAACGTTTCCAAAGACGCTTGAAAAAACCTGCAAAACTAAAAACTATGTGCAATACCTGGACAAAAGCTGTTTTAAACGTAAAGGGTACTAAACACCTATTGATTTGATTTAGTTAACGGTTAAAGGGGTGATGAACTGAGAAATCAAATTTTCCTTGAGCTTTTGACATCTAAGAGGTCATCATATTATAAGGATATCCTGTACGTTTCAGAACTGAAAACGTCCTTGTTAGTCCAATTATAAAAGCTTTGACATCACCAGCCTCAGCAAACAACTCGTTTTTAAAAGTGGGGAACTTTGAAGACAAAGAGGATAAAACCCCACCCCCACAGAAGAAGATCAACGCCTAATACACGGCCGGTTTAGCCCCGCCCACCGATTCGCGCATTTACGCGTAGCTAAATAACATAGATTCCTACCTCGTGATGACACATAGACATATACACTAGACCTCACCTTGGATACGGCAGTTCATTAGAACGAATGCGTCAGTAGAGCCGCCATCTTGAAACAGGGGAGCCCCTCCACTTTAATGCATCAGCGTCAATGTAGTAGACACAGGTCTAACGCAAATAAAATCACCATAAATCATCATGAATGCGATTTTTCTTGTTTTTTTGGTTTGTTAAAACGGTCAGACATGTATTTATCATTGATTCCAGAAAGAAAAAAAAATATATTTTTTTTTTTTGTAAACATTCTTCCTAGTTCAGATTTCATCCGTGAACTTCATACGCTGCACAAAAGTCCGCCACCATCAATGAATTCGAAGTAAAGGCAGAGATAGCAGCGTTACCTAGCTACTTCCTATGACAAGACCCCTGTTCCAAGATGGCGGCGGTTTTGACGCATGCTTAGAACCCCCAGGTGAGGTCTAGTGTATATTTCTATGGTGATGACAAACCGGATCAAGCTACCGAGCGATACAGAATATTGTGCAGCGCCTGGTTGTGGAAGAAGACAGTCGCTGATAAGCTTCCTCTGGATTCCAATAGGACTGCATGGATAAACTTTATTTATAATGACGTTCCAGCTGATGAGGTAAAACATTGTCGTCTGTTCGCTTTATTTCACTGAGGATTGTTTTGTCAATAAGACTGGATTTGCAGAACGGTGCTGTGCCGTCTATATTGGATCTGACAGGAATTGTGCAACACACGGACTCTGGGTCGAACATGTTTGGGCGAATCCGGTTGCCATTTTACAACATTGGACGTTTGTTTTCCCCCATGTGCTCCGACGGGTGAGTTAAACTCATTATAATATGCAAAACTGTTCTCCACTCACAGCAGTGGGCGTTTACTTCCAAGTCTTCAGTGCGACACGCCCATAAAAACCGACAGTTTTTCAGGTAGGCTCACAACTTAGGTACAATAGCCTATTACTTATTCATTTTAATGTTTTTGAATGCAAAAACCAAGCGAACGTCATAAGTTCACCTCAGAAAACAATAATAACATTTAAAAAGCCAGTTCATGACCCCTTTAAAAGTTAATAACAGTTAATAATATTTAACTAATAAAATGAATTGATAAATAAAATGTATTTATGATTATGACATTATTTTTTGAAAACATTATCATTTACAGCATTTTTACACAAGTGCTTTTTCACAGTACTGTAGCTTTGCAGGCAGGCTACCTTCGAGACGTTGCCGCAATTCTTCTGGTAGTCTCTTGTTTTTTCACGGTAAAAAAAACACGGAAAACACGGATACGACATCACATTGCCAGGGACTTTATCGCGTCACATTATGTTTGGTGTTTTTGCGCAACGAATAGACGTGTGTGACATGTTTATTTTACTAATATCTATATTTAGCTGCTCTACGAGTGTCCGGGTTCATGCGGCCAACCGAGACCACAGGAAGAACTGGAGTTATTCACAGTCTGAAGTACAAGACCTGGTCCTTCAGTCTCCTAATAATAACACACACACACACACACACACACATCTGCTCAAACCGCTGGAAGACCCGTAAACCAGATCACATGATCTAGGCGGTTTGGGGAAAACAAACTAAACACAACCCCCATTTGCTTTCTTAAAGGAGTAGTTTACTTTAAAAAAATTACTCACCCCATGTCATTCTTTCTTCAGTCGAAAAGAAATTAAATAAAAAATAATAAAGTTTAAGTTTTATAAGCACAAATTGCTCGCCTTGCTCTGTTCTGTGACGCGCGTTCGTGACTCTCCTGTTCGAACTCGTTCATCAAAATGAACAAATCTTTTTTCGAGTCGGAATAAAGATTCGGAAAAAGATTCGTTCATTTTGATGAACGAGTTCGAACAGGAGAGTCACGAACAGAGCAAGGCGACCATTTGAGCTTATAAAACTTAAACTTTGTTATTTTATTTTTGAAATGAGCGATCGTTTCGGTTGATAAGTCCCTTATTCATCATCTGGAGTCGTTTAAAGCCCTTTGAATAGTTTTCAGTTTGCACTGAAACTGTCTTTTGGACTTTGAACCGTTTGGTTCCCATTGAAGTCCATTATATGGAGAAAATCCTGGAATGTTTATCAAAAACCTTAATTTCTTTTCGACTGAAGAACGAAACACATGAACATCTTGGATGACATGGGGGTGAGTAAATTATCAGCAAAAGTTTTTTTTAAAAGTGAACTATTCCTTTAAATACACACTGCCGATCTCATCGTGCACATTATTCTGAGAGAAGTCTTCACTTGGAAATGTAATATGTGATTACTATGGGTGCAACAATATATCATGTCACAATTTTTCGCAATACAAAAATACAGCAATGTGTACTGTGGGTAGTTTGTGTGTGTGTGAAGAAGGGGCTGAAGAACAGGTTTGGGTGTGTGTTCATCATTCACACCGCTACAGGAAGTGTCTTTGCTCTCACATCACTGGATGTTTGCATGCATAAGATATGTGGCATATATTTCGGAGAATCCTCATCCGGTGAAGGATGTACAATGCCGAGGTTTGCTGTTATTATCGCCACACGCGGCGCTCACAGTGCTGGAGGATGATGATGGCGGGAATCAAAGCTGAAGGAAGTGATGTCACTGAGGGCAGGACTTGCAGGAATTTGAAACTAAGAATAATATTAAATTGAATTACAGTTATGTTGTCAAATTTTCCTGTAGAATTTTCAGTTTTTTACCTATTATTATTATTATTTAATGGTCCTAAAATCAGCATCCATCTTGTTTATCCAAAATATGTATTATAGGTGAAATATGATCCAGACGTGTTACACATCTGAGATTCATCATCACATTAACAGTGATATAGGCTCATGCACCAGTGTTTTTAATACTTTCTTATGGACTTTTAATACTAAATGATGATGCATATAAAGATATTTAAACAGATCTTTGGCATGACTGTAGATCTTCCATGTGAGATATAGAAGAAGCAAAAGAAAATCAGCCTGTTTGTGCGTGTTGGAGCGTTTGGACCCATAGCGAGTGCTGATGATGATGATGATGATGATGATCCGCCATTGGTCAGTGGGTCATTCTCTCTTGCCGGCGTGCGTGAGGTTGGGCGACGTGTGGTGAAGCACCAGAAGACCAGAGAGAGTGAGAGAGATGCCCGTCCACCACAGAGCCACGTGTGTCTCGCCGAATATCAGCTGCCCCAGAAACGCCTGTGAGCAAACGCAACATCAGCACACACACACACACACACCTCCAGCAGACTCATATTCTAATTCATATTAGGCTATTGTTTTCTATTCTACAATGGACTCTTATTTTAGTTTTATTATTTGATCTAGAGTAGTCAACTTTTGAAGTGGATCATCAGTCGTTCAAAGGCAACTTCAAATGTTGACTACTCTATTTTATCTAAAGCAAAATATATATTTTTTTTTTATTTTAATTTACATTTATATTTAATAAAACTTTTTTTATTACAAATAAAATTCATTTGCAACCCAAATCCAAACTAAATTTTTATTTATCCAAACTAACTATTTTTTTTTAATCTGTCTTGACCTTTCTATGATTTGTCAAGATGATTTTTTAAAATATATTACACGCGACATACTGGAGCGTGTAATAAATTTAAAATTTGTTACATTTTTGATATTTTTAAATTTTATCAATTTTAAATTTGTTATTAATATTTGATTTTATAATTACGATTAAGCTGAGGAATTATTTCATTTAAATTTCTTATTAATATTTGATTTTATAATTACGATTAACCTGAGCATATCTAGAGTGTAAAGTTAAGATTTATGCATTTAAATTGCATATAAAATTTCCATCCATTTGAATGCAATAGTTTTAACATAAACAAACTGCCGTCAAATCGATGAATGCATCTAACATAAAAGTGTGTATCTATATATTATTATATATTATATATTGACAAACTTTAATGTTAGATGCGATTGATCATGTTTAGTCAATTGACAGCATTAAAACAAACTAAAAAACTGATGCATATTTCTTAGTCACACATTAAAGAAAAAGTAAGATTTCTGCACAAAAATAAATAAAGGCATATTCATTATTCTATTTAATTTGATTTTTTAAAAAAACGATTTTTTTAAATGCATAATCATTTGGCTTAGAATCAGCATACATGTGTTTATTCTGAAAATAATGACATCATCTCAGTTATAAAAAAAAGTACCTGTTTCTTGTATGACTGACAAATATGCAAAAGTCAAAGTTTTGTGTGGCCTAATCCGAATGCATGGAAATTTCATATTCAATCCCATACATAAATGCATCCCTCTCTCCTGAGATGAGAAGGTGTTTATCTGAAGCTGATGCTCACAGAAGAGATGAAGTTGGAGGCGGTGGTGGTCACAGTGGTGCGCGCGGACGAGCACGAGCTCCTCAGGGCTTTGGCCAGGAAGGTCCACATCACAGCATTACAGGTGAACAGCAGACCTCCACACAGCAGTCGGAGAGGAATGTGCAGCTGTCACGGGGAAAGTGGAAAACACTTGTTACTACTGCAATATTCAGCAGCCATAAATATCTAATGGGATTCACTAATGCATCAGGAAGAGCGATGGCACGTGAGCGCGCGCGGCGTTGAAGGTCATGCTTGCCTGTCACGTAACAGCATCAGCATCATCATTATGCATTAACTGCGCAATATGAGTGTGTGAAACGTGATGATGATGAGAAAGTGCGGGTGTTTTCCAGCAGTGACTCTCTCTCTCTTTCAAACACACACACACTCACCCAGTCGCACGCGCTCGTGTCGTTGTGCTGCGTGAATTTCCTCTGCTCGCCCCAGGTTCGCAGGCCCGTCTCACACACACCCTTCAGATAGTCGGTTCCGAGAGACAGTTTGGCGGACGAGGACGCGACGGCGCCGAGAAAGCCCGCGAGCAACGCGTACAGGACACCGGGAAACATGACTTCAGCAGCAGACCCATCACACCTCATCCTCCAGCACTGCGAAACACTCACGCAGCAGCAGCATCACGGGGAGCAGGTGCATTCTGGGAACTGGAGTCCATGCTGCGCCTGCGTTTTAGTTACTTTAAAGGGATAGTTCACCTGAAAATGAAAATTAGCCCATGATTTACTCGCCCTTAAGTCATCCTTGGTGTAGGCCTATATGACATTCTTCTTTTTACATGAATACAATCGGAGTTAGCCTATATTAAAAAAAATGTCCTGGCTCTTCCCAGCTTTATAATGCCAGTGAATATTAGAGGTGAATATTAATATTATAGGAAATACTAATATTAGAGAAAGTATATTAGAGGTGTAATGAAGCTGTGAGGCCAGTAGAGGACGCTCTAGGAAGTGCAAAGCGTCTCGCTCCTCTTTCCTTTCACTTCAGTTCTGTGATCTGATCATTAAGTCTCGGTTCAGAAAACCAGATTGGAAAAGTCTGCAAAACTCCTTTAACATGCTCACTCACTCCTATTATATATATATATATATATATATATATATATATATATATATATATATATATATATATATATATATATATATATATATAATAGGAGTGAGTGGGCATGCTAAAGGAGTTTTGCAGACTTTTCCAATCTGGTTTTCTGAACCGAGACTTAATTATCAGATCTTATATATATATATATATATATATATATATATAGATAGATAGATAGATAGATAGATAGATAGATAGATAGATAGATAGATAGATCGATCTTAGATTTGAAGGCAACCCAGGTTACTTACTTTCTTAAGTTAAACCATCAATATTTTTTTACAGTGTACACAACTGGGTTCTCACGTGTAAAACTTTCCATAGATTTCATCCTAAAAGTGTGTACTTGTGGTCTAGTGTTTGTGCACAAAGTTAATTCTTTTTATAAATGTGTGTAAAATTGCCGTGTGTGTGTGTGTGAGGACACATGCAGCACTTGACTCTGAAACACGCAGCGCATTGATGTATCTGATGAGCGCACTGATCCAGGTTGTGATTTGGTCTTGTTTCTCAGTAATGCGGCTGACCTGAGCTTGACTTCAGTCTCACACACACACACTCTTTCTGCTCGTATCGATCTGGAGTGTGTGTGCTGGCCGAAGGAATGCATCTCTGGTCTCTTGTAGTGAAACCTGACGCGAGAGCCCTGGTAAATACGCAGATCCTCTCTCTCCATTTCTCACAGTGATGATCAGTGTCTCTTTATCATCCTAATGGACAGAGAGGAGTGTGTGAGAGTCAACAGGCCTTTTGAAGCCATTAGTCATGTTCTGAGAAAAAATTTTAAAAATGTAAAATAACCAGATATTTATTAGTAAAAGACAAGTCACTTTTTGAAGCATTTACAGTACCTGCATGCAAACAGTTTCACATGCTATTCATGAATACAGTAGGCCTGCTATTCCAAAAGATGTGAAAATACGGCTACCTAAAAAAATAAAGGTTCATTAAAGCTTCTTTAATGATATCATTAGTTCAATTGAAGGATACCTTAACCCTTTATCTATGTTCTTAAACTTCCTGCACTATAAAGAAAAACGGGTTTGAAGGGTTCTTTAAATAGCAGCAAAACCACAAATGGATTGTTCTGATGGGTTTAGACAGCAGTGGCACAAACAATCAATGCTAAATGCAACTAAAAATATTCAACAAACCATTTACAGTAATAGTGAAGTAAATTAAAGGCCGTACCACCACCACCACCACCACCCAAAAAAAAAAAGAAAATACACATTAAAATATATACAGTAGCTATATTAAATGCACAACAAGGATAAGCACAGTTTTGTGCCATTAAATATTGTCTGTCAAAAGCATGAAAAACCTTCAGTAAAAAGCAAACTTATCCAGTTAACAAAAATATGTTATTTTACTAACATACATACACTCTCAGAAAAAAAGGTACAAAAGCTGTCACTGCATGGGGCTGTACCTTCTCAAAAGGTAAACTTTTGTACCCAAAGGCTGCATATTGGTACCTTAGTGGTACATATTAGCACCTAAAATGTACATATTAGCTCCTGAAATGAACATATTATCACCTAAAATATAGTACTTAGCACCTAAAATGTAATATTAGGACCTAAAATTGACATATTAGCTCCTGAAATGGACATATTAGCACCTAAAATGTACATATCACTCCAGCACCTAAAATGTACATATTAGCACTTAAAATGTACATATTAGCACTTAAAATGAACAAAAGTTTACCTTTTGAAAAGGTACAGCCCAGTGACAGCTTTTTTACCTTTTTTTCTGAGAGTGTAGGTATGAAAACGTTATTTCTGAAAGTTCTCTGAATGTTCAAAAAATATTTTTTATATAAAAAGTTTTTTTTTTCTTGATTATGAGAACGTTAAGGGAACATTCCTATGTTATCATTTGGCAAACAATGGAACGTTTTTTCTCAAATATTTTAGTTGCGCATTCTTCTAACGTTTTTAAACGTTGTTTCAGAATGTTCAGGGAAAATTCAAAAGTAACGTTCCATTGTTTTAGATTGCCAATGTTGAACGATGGGAACATGTTACAGACCAGATGAACGAACGTTACTGAAAGAACATTATTTGCCAGAACGTTAGGGTACCGTTCTAAAGACGTTCATGTTAACTGGCAAGTAAATCACCTCTGCCAATTTTTAAGCGTTTAGACATATTTTATTATGCAGTTCATGGTAATATTGAATATAATTAAAATATGATTCTAAGGACATGTTTATTTTGAGACACATCATGATAGCGGGTCCTAAAAAACAATATATTTCTCATTTACATAGCTAATCGTTTTTGTAATGGGTTCTAATATTGTTCTTCGTGCAAAATAAAAAGGCGTTCGGCTGTTCATACAATCAAAAGAACACAAATAGTTGTAGCGTTTGAAAAATCCATCTTCACAAGAGTGTTAGAGTCAATGCAGATGATGCACGTGCTCACGAGAGAGAGAGAGAGAGACTGAAGACGCACGCGTCGCGTTCACGGAGACAGAAGCGTTGAGATGTGTTTGTAATATCCGGGGTTGGACTGGAGAGAGAGAGAGAGGGAGTGTGTCTCAGATTCCCACAGAAACACGCTGGAGAGAGACGAGCTCCTCGGGAACATGGCACTGGGACGATGGGAACGGGTTCCAGCTCCTCCGTCATGATCTAACGTTAGATCGGGATCGTTCCCGCAGCGCGATGGAAAAGACGCCGGCGGCTCGGACGGGCTCGGGCTCGGCCTCGCTCGGGTTCGGCAGGACAGAGGGAGTGCTGAGCAAATACACCAACCTCATCCAGGGCTGGCAGAACAGGTACCGAACACTAGCCGAACCCGAACACATGCTCGTGCATGCTGAACTTTACACTGACACTGTGTCATATCGTATTACCAAAACACACAGCCGACGTGGCACTGACTGTTCTTTAGGTCTAAATAGGATTTTTATTATTTTTGTTTATTATTATGTTTTTTTTTTTAAAGTTCTTTTTTTTTTTTAGTTCAGATCATTAATAGTTCACAGTTTTCAATAGTTCAGTGATCCAATAAGCAATTCTACTCACTTACTTTATTAACAAACACACATTTGCTTAGGTTTATGGGGACTTCCATAGACATAATGGTTTTTACTCTGTACAAACTGTATATTCTCTCCCCTAAACCTACACACACACACACACACACACACTAACCCGCCCGCTACTAAACCTACACACACACACACACACACACTAGCCCTACCCCTAAACCTACACACATGCTAACCCGCCCGCTAAACCTACACACACACTAACCCAACCGCTAAACCTACACACAAACACACACACACACAGATATAACATTTTTTAAAATAGTGATAGGTCACTTTTACTATAACATTATCTTTACTTGAGTATCACTTTAATCTGGCGTTTGACCTCATATATATGCTCATTTTCTGTGGTTATGATTCTCGAAATCATATTTTGTGTATTCTGGTGTGTGTTTTCCTAAAGTCCATCATTACTGAAGTATTGCATCAGAAGGAAAAGTTGAAACTTCCTGATCCTGACGTGTTTCTGCATTGAGTTGAAGCTGAATTCATCATGATGTCACTGAACACACACTCCGTGTCAGCTCACACTCGCTGAGATTCTCAGATCAACTGATATTCAGGAATAATTGCACAAGAGATCAGGATACACACACACACACACACATGAATGTTATCTGGATGTGAATTCGATCTTTGTACTTTGTACAAACAGTCTGTCTGTACACAAGCGGAAATAAGTACACACACACACACACACACACACACACAGGCTATTTCAGGCTCAATAGAAGTCTGTTATGATTACGAACTTACATTTTCTTCAGTTTTTTTGTCATTAAACAGAAAGTCTAATCAATTGGATTCATGAAACTCAATTTAATCGATGTCTGAAAATGTAAACAAATGAAAATATGACAATAATTCACCATAAACAGAAGGAGCCAATCACACGTTTCCACAGCCGTGGGTTTGAGTGTAATGAGACCGATGCTGGTTCATGGCTCGATTTGAATTTGATTAATTTTACAATCCTCCTTTTGATTTGTTTTTCCAAAATTTGCCAAATTCTGTGTCATTCCTAGGGATGGGCAACGATTAATCGCGATTAATCGCATCCAAAATAAAAGTTTGTGTTTACATAACATATGTGTGTGTAGTGTGTATAATTAATTTGTATATATAAATACCCACACGCTTGTATATATTTAAGAAATATGTGCATGTATATATTTTATATATATTTATTCACAATTAATATATATAAATATAAATATTTGATATATTAATAACACATTTTCTTAAATATAAACATACATGTGTGGGTATATATATATATACAAAAAATTAATTATACACACTACACACACATATATTATGTAAACACAAACTTTTATTTTGGATGCGATTAATCGCGATTAATCGTTGCCCATCCCTAATTCTAACTAATAGAGATATTAAAATCATCTCGTTTGGGATTTTTCTGTCCTATATGGAGATATTTAGAGCAAAGT